TGGATGTCAGAAGAGATCTGAAACTTGCTCTCCAGTGTAGAGATGCTAAAGCAAATGGAAGAGATGAGGAGGTCCAACAGCTGAACAGTAAATTTCAAAGATCAGCTCAAGAAGATAAAGGCAAATATTACAACAAAATGTGCAAAGATCTGGAGTCAGTAAACCAAAAAGAAAGAACACGCTCAGCATTTCTCAAGCTGGACGAACTGAAGAAAATAATCAAGCCTCAACTTTCATTATTGAAGGATTCTCTGGGGAAATTATTGAATGATGCAGAAAGCATCAAAAGAAGATGGAAGGAATACACAGAGTCACTGTACCAAAAGGAAATGGTTAATGTTCAACCGTTTCAAGAGGTAGCATATGATCAAGAGCCAATGATACTCAAGGAGGAAGTCCAAGGTGCACTGAAGGAATTGGCAAAGAACAAGGCACCATGAAGTGATGGAAGAAAAACTGAATTCTTACAAGAAAGTGAGGCAGCACAGGAGGCACTCATCTATGCCAAGCAATTTGGAAGACAACTATGTGGCCAACTGACTGGAAAAGATCCTTATCTGTGCCCATTCCAAAGAGAGGTGACCCAACGGAATGCGGAAATCATCAGACAATCGCTTTGAAACCCATACAAGTAAAGTTTTACTAAAGGTAATACAGAAACAGCTACAAGCATACATTGACAGAGAACTTCCAAAGGTTCAAGCCGGATTCAGAAGAGGCCGTGGAACGAGGTAAATCATTACTGATGTTCGATGGATCTTGGTTGAAAGCAGAGAATATCCGAAAGATGTTTACCTGTGCTTTACTGACTATGCAAAGGCTTTTGATTGTGTGGATTATGACAAGCTATGGACAATATGGTGAAGTATGAGTATTCCAGAACACTTGATTGTGCTCATGAGGAATCTGTGCCTGGACCAAGAGGCAGTTGTTCGAACAGAACAAGGGAATACTGAATGGTTTAAAATTAAGAAAGATGTGCCACAAGGTTGTATTCATTCACCATACTTATTCAACTTGTACGTTGAGCAAATAATCTGAGAAGTTGGCTTATATGAAGAAAAATGTGGTATCAGGACTGGAGGAAGAGTCATTAACAATTTGCGATATGCAGATGATACAACCTTGCATGGCAACAATAGTGAACTTGGCCCAGGATCGGGCAGTGTTTCGTTCTACTGTGCATAAGGTCTGTATGAGTCGGTACGGATTCGATGGCACCTAAGAACAAAAACAAAATATTTCAATATTACAAGTTGAGACTTTAATTTTTTCATCCGTTTTTTTTTTTCAGCTTGAGAAATGCTGATCGTCATTTTTACCTTTTGATTTTCTAACTCCAGGTTTTTGCACATATTTCATTATAACTTTGTTTTCTCAAGCTGCCTTATGAAATTTTGTTTTCAGCTCTTTTACTTCATTTTTTCCATTTGTTTTAGCTTCTCTACCTCAAAAGCAATTGTCAAGAGTATCTGCTGACATTCGTTTTTCTCTTTTCTTTCTTTCCTGTTTTTTTAAAACATTTGGCTTTCTTCATGGATGTTGTTTTTGATGTCATCCCACAACTCTTCTGGTTTTTAGTCATTAGTGTCTAATGCATCAAATCTGTTCTTGGGGTCTCTAAATTGAGGTGGTATATATTCAAGGTCATATCTTGGCTCTCATGGACTTGTTTAAATTTTCTTCCTTTTCAGCCTTAACTTGCTTACGAGTCTATTCCACAGTCTGTCCCTACTCTTGTTTTGGCTGATGATATTGAGCTTCCCCACCATCTCTTCCCACAGATATAGTCACTTTGATTCCTTTTTATTCTAACTGAAGTCCATGAGCATAATAACCTTTTATGCTGTTTTAAAAGGGTATTTACAACAAACTAAGTCACTGGTCTTACAAAATTCCACCATGTAATCTCCAGTATCATTTCTATCACCAAGGCTATTTTTTCCAACTACTGATCCTTTCCTCTTTGTTTCCAACCATCACATTCCAATCACCAATAATTATCACTGCACCTTGTTGAATGTTTGAACAATTTCATACTGAAGTAGTTGGCAGAAATCTTCAATATCATTCATCATCACTGGCTTTAGTGGTTGGTTTATAATTTTGAATAATAGTGGTATTAACTGGTCTAACTTGTAGACATATGGATATTATCTCATTACATACAGCACTGTAATTTCAAGACAGATCTTGAAATGTTCTTTTTGACAATGAATGTGTTACCATTCCTCTTGAATTTGTTGTTCCCAACATAGTAAACCATATGATTGTCAGATTCATAATGGCCAATATCAGTGTATTTCAGTATTGGCCTAGGATGGAGTCCTTGTGTGACGCTGTAGGTTAATGTGCTGGACTGAAAAGTTGGTTCGAAGCCAAAGATCGGTGGTTCAAGCTCATCAGCTGCTCCTTGGAAATCCTATACAAGGTTGCTATGGGTTGGAACTAACTTGACGGCACTTAACAATAACAATGCCTAGGATATAGATCTTTAAGCATTCCATTTCATTTTCTGACAACTTACAATTTTCCTAGATTCATACTTTGTACATTCCACATTCCAATAATTAATGGATGTTGCAACTATTTCTCCTCACTTTGAGTTGTGGTCCGTCAGCAAACGAAGGTCCCGAAAGCTTTTTTCCATTCACATCATTATGGTCAACTCTACATTGAGGAGGTAGTTCTTCTCCAGTCATAGTTTGAGTGCCTTCCATCAGAAGGGCTTCATCTTCTAGTATTATATCTTACACTGTTTCGCTGCTCTTCATAAAGTTTTCATTTTCCGACACAGTACCTCTCATTTTTCCATTGCTATTCAAAAGGTTTTCAGTGGCTAAGTATTAAGAAGTAGTCTGCTTCTCCTTCTTCCTAGTCTGGCTTAGTCTGGAAGCTCAGGTGCAACCTGTCCACCAAAGGCGACCCTGCTGGTATTTAAATATCAGTGGTATAGCTTCAAGCATCATAGCAACAAGCAAGTCACCAAAGTAAGACAAACTGACAGGTGAGTGGTTGTATTCATAAATACTAGGTAAAACTTCCTTTGTTAAAGATAATATTTACTATCATATTTGATATTTCTTCTAACCCTTCCCATTTTATCAGCTACTTATATCTATCTAATTATAAACGTTCATATTTTATATTTATTGTACCTATTTAAGGAATCCTAGTGTGGTGGACTGCAAAGTTGGTTTGAACCACAAGGTTGGCAGTTCAAGCTCACTAGCTGCTCCTCAGAAACCCTACACAGGGTCATTGTGAGTTGGAGCCGACTTGACACACTTAGCCACAACAATAACACACTTATTTAAGGAATCTTTCAATTCCCAGCATAATTTAAAATCCTTCTAATAATTCTATTAGTCCCTGGGGTCCATATTCTCTCAGATTTTCTTCCTTGTAAACTGAGTTGGAGAGCCCTCTACAAGAATGTTTGTTTCAGTGTTCTGTTACACATTAAAGTTTACACACTTCTGTTAATACAACAATGACTGCATAATTAAAGTAAAACTTATTTTCAGAATGACAAAATTATAAGGAGCTGCTGAACAGTCCTAATGAAAATATTATCAAAGCACATTATACTACTTGTATAGTATTAAAATACCACAGTATTTTATATAACAACACAGTATTAGTTTCATTAATAACAATTCTTGCTATCATGTGACTGGAATTCATGGATAAGAGCACACAGTAGTGAAATATTTTGAAGTATTAGTAATGAAAGCATAAAAAACAAGCTGGGATCTCGAAGTCCAATATCTCTCAGGTTTGACAGTTGTACCAATAAAGAAAATCAGTAATTAGTAAACAAAAACCACCAAATCCTAACAGAAAAATAAGCAAAATATATGGAAGACATATCTCAGAAGAAGAAATCTGAGTGAGTTTTACACTTATAAAAAGAATCTCAACATCACTATTATAAGAAATACATATTAAAATTACATGGCGATAACTCCTCACCCTCCACACAAATGTAAAACGATCAGAAGGGTGAAAATTCTAAAGTTTGACAGCACACTGTTAGCATACCTGGGAGAGTGGGGGACAATAGGAGGGGGACAATAGGAGGGAGATTTGAAAAGTTCATGGAAAAAACGGAATGAAAAGATAATGGAATTTTTCCATGAACTTTTTGAAGACTCCCGTATTTGGCAATATGAAAAAAAATTGCAAACTCATACAATACTTCTATAAATTTAAATTTAAAGAAATACTTGCACATGAGCATGATATACAAGAGGGCTTCAAAAAGTTCATGGAAAATGGGTTTAAAAAACAATGGGATTTTTCCACAAACTTTATGATGCCCCCCGTGGCATAATAGCCCCCAAACTGCAAGCAAACCAAATTTAGAGGAGTCAGGGACAAGTTAAATAAATTACGCTTTCTCCACACAGCTGTAAAAGCAAACAAAAGAGATTCTATCTAAGAGAGGATATGGAAATAAGAATTTTATTTATATAAAATTTATATAAGAAAAGGCAAAATACAGGATGATGTATATACTCTAATACGTATTTGTATGAAGGAGGATACAATTATGTTTGCTTGTGCTATGCATAAACTCTGGAAGAACACACGAGAAACTAACAATAGAAGTTGTTCAGTGTAAACAGGACAGATGGAAGACAGTAGATGGATACTTCTAACTATACACATAAATATGAACCATGTGAATTCATTATTAATTAATTTAAAAGTAATTTAAAAGTTCCTAATCTTATAATTTTTTTTTAGCTCTGGTAGCGCAGTGGTTACGAATCGGGCTGCGAACCTCAGGGTCAGCAGTTCGAAACTACCAGCTGTTCCACGGGAGAAAGATGAGGCTTTCTGCTCCCGTAAAGATTTACAGCCTCGGAAACCCTGCACAGGGTCACTATGAGTCGGAACCGACTCCATGGCACAGAACAACAACAACAATCTTATAATTACTAAAACATGCTTTACTATTAAAACAATTATTACACAGTCATCTGTAGTCCTACCTGCAAACTGGCCACATAAGAATCCTCACAATTGACATAATGTCCTAACATGGCATGTTTTGCCCGCAGTTCATTATCTCTTATCCTCTCATGTAGGTGGGTTATTTGTTGCTTCTGCCTGTAAAACAAAAGTTGAAGTTACATTATAAAGAATATGCTTTTCTAATAGTCTCTATTTAAATTTGTTAAAATAGTTGAAATCAGAACTTTCAGTATTCTAACAATTTGACATCAGAACTAAAAGTCTTCCCAATCTTAGAACAATGAAAGTTGGGAATTTTTAAAAACCATATTACCACAATACATAGGGAATGCAGTTAAGATTTTCTTTATGCCATGGAATATCTCTAAAGGAGCTCTGGAAGTGTGGTGGTTACAAATTGGGCTGCGAACCTTAAGGTCAGCAGTTCAAAACTACCAGCTGTTCTGCAGGAGAAAGATGAGGCTTTCTGCTTCTGTAAAGATTTACAGCCTTGGAAACACTGTCGCTATGAGTCGGAACTGACTCCATGGCATATCACGACCACGAAGGAATACCTCTAACACTGTATGCAGTATAGTCTTCTATACTTTTCTTGGAATCTAACAAGATCATGCTGTGCTTTTGCGTCTTGCTATTTAACTTACAATAAATGCTATGTCTTCACTCTGGAATGCCTTTACTTTAAAGACATTATTTTCATGCAATCAAGTTCTAATTGAAGCTGATGAGAATCTTACCATCAAGAGGTGGAAAATACCTTATAAAGCTCATCAAGTCCAAATGAAATTCTAAGCTTGCAACATCTCTACAACATTATCTTTATTTTCCTTATTTATTTTGCTATCTCCCGGATATCCATGTGATTTTGAGGGGTTTTCAAAAGTTCATGGAAAAATTCCATTATCTTTTAATTCCACTTTTCCACAAACTGTCAAGTCCCCTAGTATAATCGCTGTAATCCTGGTGTGGAGCTGTAGGATAAGCACTGTACTGCTAACCACAAAGTGGGTTGTTCAAACCCACGAGATGCTCCATGGCAGCACTATACAGGGTTGCTAGGAGTCAGAACTGACTCTAAGACCTTAACAACAATAAAGTATAAGTTCAATGAGGCCAAGACTTTGTTCACTACTGTGTCTCCAGCACTTAAGAAGTTCTTACTATATGTTGAAGCCCTTTGGTGGTGCCATAAGATAAGCACTGAACTGCTAACCACAAGGTGAGTGGTTTAAACCCACCAGTGCTCATTGGAAACCCTGAATAAATTACACTGAATAGGGCTGCTTGAGTCAGAGCCCACTCAATGACACTTAACATCAGTTTATGCTAAGACATTCAACAAATATACAGTGAATAAATGGTCTATATCTCCTAGTAACTGAACTGAATTGTTATCTTCATCATTTAATAAAGGTCCAGTTATACAGACACCTATTTTCTCCAGTCACACCTATTCCAAAAGTTACTTTGTAAATAATTTTGGAAACATCAAGCTATTAGTTTCTCCATATTTGTCCTAATAATCCCTTAAAGGTTCTCTCCTCCTCATAATTTGATTTTGAGTATTACTCTTAGCATGATGCCTGGCACATTACAGCTTTCAAATACATGAAGATACATACCTAGGGAAATCAAGTAACTTGCTTAAGTTTCAGCTTTGAGTTGGTGAAGGAAGACTTGAACTCTTATTCCAAAACCAATACCATAATCATTAGACTAAAGTGGCTATATGGCATATTTTTACAATTAACAAAACAAGTCCTATATGCCTTATTTTTCCTGAAAATTCTTTTGGTTACTCATTGCCTTCAACATAAATTTTTAGCATGAACTTGACAAGTGTAATGAAAAATACTATTTAGGTATTGATTGGGTCACAGTTAATTTATAAATAAGTTTGTAAAAAATAAACTCTATGTTAATGCGCCTTCCAATTCATACCCACGTTGTCTCCTGTTAGCTGTGTCCTCTTTTATATCCTTCAATGCCTTCAAGTTTTTCACATCAAGGAAAAAAATTAAACCACTTTTAATAGAGTCACTCCTGCGTTCATTATAGATTTCACAGTTATCTTAAATAGTACATTTTTCTATTTCTACTTTGAATGCTATAGTACTATCAATTCCTCCAAATTGACTTTACAGTGTATTAGTTTTCATGGTTTCTCTGTAGATTTTCTTACTTATCCTAGGTAGACAATACTATTGCCTACTCAAATGACACTGTCTATAAGCAACATAGTTCTATAACTTCTAATTAATCTATACTTCTATATACCAGAAATATTTAGTAAATAAATAAATAAACTCACCGGTCAATTACTATTTCTTTCTGCCTTAGTAGTCCTTCTTTTATTTTCAGCACTGATTCCCATTTACTGAAATCCTGATATTCAGAAGGTAAATAAGTTTGACGAGATGATCCAGTTGAAACCTGCACAAAAATGTTCACAATTATTAACATACTAAAACTATCTAAAGGAAGTAAGTTTCTATATATAATCTAAGAGTTTCCAATGAACTCTTCCTCTGATTTTTTAAACGACTACCTGAAATCACATGTGCAAATACAACATAACTTAAAGAATTTCAAGCAAGTTCCAATGTAAAATTACAAGTCTGATGAAGAACTGATGACAACAGCAAAGTTAACCTGGCTTATAATAATACCCCCTATATAATCTTTTACTAAGTAACTTTTGGAAGCTTTCTGGAATTCAAAGATTAATTTTGCCTAAAGAAAGAGGACAATAAAACAAATGTATCATGGCTAGATGAGACTCATGTTATTGGAAGGGTTTCCACAGGAAATAAAAGCAGCATCTGCAATATTCAAACTTCAAACTTCATTCATCACTTGAATCACATTAAAATTTTGAAAGCACAGATATTCTCACAAAGTATTAACTATCCATAGTAACTATGATTATCATTTAAGCAATGTGAATGATTACTGGTCCTCAGTTTAAATTATATCATTTGGCTAAAATCTGCTAGAAAGTAAGAAAAAATTCATATATTTTAAAGAAGTCAGTAAAATTTAAAAATATGTAAATATCACCAAATAAACATCATTTAAAAAATTAGTACTGACAGACCAATAGAAACACTGTAAGTTCCTTGGCCAACTAAATTATGCTATATAAACACCAAAGCAATTTGAACAGAATTCAGCAACTTTTCTGACTGGATGGTTCCTATGTAATGTCTCCCCAATGTCTTCACAGCCCAATACATTCACTAATACTCAGTTGATAAAGTTAGAATTCAAACGTGGGAAGCCTAACAAGGAACACCTGCTCTTAGGCACCACATTGATACACTGGCCTGTTGTTGCTGTAAAGTGTCACTGAGTTGGTTCCAACTCATAATGACCCTATGCACAACAGAATGAAAACACTGTCCGGCCCTGCACCATCCTCACAATGGTTGTTTCTGCTTGAGTCCACTGCTGCTGCCACTGTGCCAATCCATCTCACTGGAGGACTCCCTCTTTTTTGCTGACCCTCCACTTTTCCAAGAATGATGCCCTTCTCCAGGGAGTGGTCTCCCTGATAATATATCTGAAACATGAGAGTTGAAGTCTCACCATGCTGGCTTCAAAGGTACATTCTGACTATACTTCTTCCAATACAGATTTGTTTGTTCTTCTGGCAGTCTACGATACTTTGAAAATTCTCTCCAACACCATAAATTAAATACATCAATTCTTCTTCAGTGTCCCATATTCAGTGCCCTACTTTTATACGCATACGAGGCAACTGAAAATACTATGGGGCTTGGGTCAGACACACCTTAGTCCTCAAATGATATCTTTGCTCTGGAACACTTTAAACTGGTTTTTTGAGGTTGTTTTTTTTTTCCTTCTTTTGTTTTTTTGCTTTTTGCTTCTTGAAAGTTGATTTCAGATCCAAGTAAAACGAAATTTTTGACAACTTCAATTTTTTTCTCCATTTATCATAATACTATTTCTTGGTCCAGTGGTGAGGATTTGTTTTCTTTATACTGAGGTGCAATTTATACTGCCAAGCTATGGTCTTCGATCTTTACCAGTAAGTATTTTAAGTCCTCTTCACTTCCAGCAAGCAAGGGTGCATCATCTACATATTACAGGTTGTGAATACATCTTCCTCCAGTGTTAAAACATTCAGTATCATTTTGTGCTCTCTGATGTTTAGTTCCTTGGAGTTAAGTTTCAACACACAGCAACACTGTGTAGGTTTCCTAGGCTTTATATCTCTGTGTAATATGGCCTAATTATCAGCTGAAGTATTCCAAATTTCACATCAGGACAAAAGCTCTAGAAATTTCTCCAAAGTATATGCTCTTTGTTTAGTAGACACTGAGAGGACTCAACACCATGAACAATATTGTTGTTAAGAAAAATTCCCTACCTAATTGAAACTCTATGATACCTAGTTGAATCCATAGTTATTAAAAAAAAAAATAACTCCTGAAAGAAAGAAATCTCTATTTATAAACAGTTCCACTGTGGAATTCTACCAAATATTTAAAGAATTAGTATCAAGTCTTCACAAGCTAAAAAAAGAGAACATTTCCCAATTCATTTCATGAGGTCAGTATCACCCTGATACCAAAACCAGACAAAAGAGGTAAGAAAAAAGAAAACTATAGGCCAATCACCATCATGAATATAGACACAAAGTCCTTACCAAAATGAAATCAAACGCAGATAGAATAATTGGAATAATTGTGTGGTTTAATCCAAGAAAAGCAAGGTCAGTTTGATCATGGAAAATCAATATTAACTCACCACACTAACAAAATAAAATGGACCCTTGGTGTGGTGCTGTAGGATAAGCACTGGGCTGGGAACCACAAGGTTGGTGGTTTGAACCCACCAACTGTTCCTTGGAAACCCTATACAGGGTTGGCATGAGTCGGAATCGACTTGACAGCACTTAACAACAACAAATAAATAGGGAAAAATTATAGGGATATCTCAAGTAAATGAAGAAAAAGCATTTGCCTAATTCAACCTCCATTTTGAGTTTAAAGAACAAACAAAAATGACCCGGCTAACTGGGTACAAAGAGAACTTTCTAAACCTGATGTTGTTGTGTGACGTGGAGTCGGTTCTGACTCACAGCAACTCTGTACAGGGTTTCCTAGGCTGTAAATCTTTATGGGAGCAGAAAGCCTCCTCTTTCTCTCGCATAACGGCTGGTAGTTTCGAACTGCTGACCTTGAGGTTCGCAGCCCAATTTGTAACTACTACGCTACCAGAGTTCCTTAAACCTGGACTACTAACCGAAGGGTCAGCAGTTAAAACCCACCAGCTACTCCTCAGAAACCCTTTAAGAGTCTTTATGAGTCACAACCAACTCAATGGTACTTAACAACAATATACACTGGATAGCACTTCTAAAATTATTTTGATTGGGAGTGGTGAGGGTAGGTAGCCTTAAGGAGAAAGTGTTCTGCTATTTCTCACTCTTAATTATAATTTCAGCTGTGGTGGTGGTGGCTGTGTGCTGTGGAGTCGGTTCCGACTCATAGCGACCCTGTACAGGGTTTCTGAGGCTGTAAATCTTTATAGGAGCAGAATGCCTCATCTTTCTCCCACAGAACAGCTAGTAGTTTTGAACCGCTGACCTTGCGGTTCGCAGCCCAATTCATAACCACTATGCTACCAGAGCTCCTTAATTTCAGCTGTAGGGTTATTTAAAATGGTGTCCAAACCTGATAAAGGACACCATTTTTAAATAACCCTACAGCTGAAATTATAATTAAGAGTGAGAAATGGCAGAACGCTTTCTCCTTAAGGCTACCTACCCTCACCACTCCCAATCAAAATAATTCTAGAAGTGCTATCCAGTGTATATTGTTGTTAAGTACCATTGAGTTGGTTGTGACTCATAAAGACTCTTAAAGGGTTTCTGAGGAGTAGCTGGTGGGTTTTAACTGCTGAC